CCCGCCGCTGCCCGATGTACGGAGCTGCGCCCCCCCTTACCTCCCTTGGCAGGCGGGCGCCCCCGTGTCCAGGCCCTGCTCTGGAGCAGAGCCCCTGCAGGCTGTTGCGAGTCATCCAAAACACTGAACAGTTTTCAGATTTCAAGCTGTATGGGAAAGTCGGCCATTCTCCCTGCTTGACTCGCAGCCGGGCCTCCTGGCCGTGCCCCGGCCCTGGCTACTAATCCCCTTGCAGCCCAGCTGCTCCCATCCTGGCTCTCGCCCTGTGAGGCCTAGTTCCTGCGCTACATCTCTTCCCTCGCCTTCCCTCTGCAGCCTGCTGCTGCTTCCTTCTCAGCAGGCCCCTTTTCGGTGTGGCAGAGCGGGGGAGCTCTCTGCTGGCTGGACAGTGCACTGGAGGGAGGTTTATACAGTGCCCAGTGGCTTGGTTAGGGAGCCTCCAGGCCGCTGCGCACGGGCCCAAGTGCCCCCACAGGGCGGTTCTCCCATGAAACCTGGGATGGGTTCTGCAGGGGTCCTCATTGCCCTGGGTCAGTTGTTCCCAGCTCCTGAGTGGAGGGTGGAAGAGGCTGTTTTCCTGGAGCATCGGGGCAAAGCTCCCCAGTGGTTTGGCTTTGCCTGGCTCCGACTGCAAGAGCTGTCTGGAAAATTCCATCCGTCTGTTCCTTCCTCCCCAGCATCAAATTTGGATGAAATGGACTTTCTTTTCCCCCCACAAAGGTTTCAAAGTTTTGGTTGGAAACCAAAATATCAGCTTTGTTGCAACTGAAAACTGATATCAAAAAAGGAGGCGTACGGGATCTTTCGAAAAAGGGTTTTTTTCCCGAAAACGCGCGGCTGCCATTATGCAAATGAAGTGTGGGAAATTCCAATCCCGGCTTCATTTGCAATTTCGATCTCTCTAATTTACATCCCTGTTTTGAAAGAGGTGCTTCCGGGCCACTCGTGTTTTAAAGTTACAGACTTTCCACGGTTCCCCCGCTGAGACCGATAAACTGTTGGTTTCTCTCAACCTGGCCAAAATGTTCAGTTTTGCTTCCCCAAAACTGGAAAACAAAATTTCCCCTATAAAATGTGAAAATAAAATCCTCCCCTCCGGCAGTTTCCGATTCAACAAAGCAGCCAGTTTCCTTTACACGCACCCCTCCAACCTTCTTCGGGTGTGAAACTGCAACCTGTTCTATTGGTGACGGAGCTGCCGGTGCTCTCTGCCCCCTGCAGGATGAAAACTGCATGTACAGCCCTACCGGCAAAGCCGCCAAGTGCCGCGGGTACAGGGAAATCCCAGAAGGGAACGAGAAGGCCTTGAAGAGAGCCGTGGCCCGGGTGGGGCCTGTGTCTGTGGGCATCGACGCCAGCCTCTCCTCTTTCCAGTTCTACAGCCGAGGTAGGAAGGGGGGAGCCTCGTGCGCCATGAGAGGAGAATGGGTGTTGCCATATGGTGAGCTCTTCTCCGCCTTGGCTCTTGCTGGTAGGAAGAGGGGTTTCAGGTGTGGTTGGGTTAGGACTCTTTGCATTTCATTCCCCCCTATTAATGACCATCACGCCTGTGATTCCCGGAGGGATCTCAAAGCTCATGGAAAGCATTGCAAATGCCTCCGTGCAGACATCACAGAAATGCAGCCACCTCTGGGGGGTGGGTGGGGGGGAGGAGGCGGCTGCTGGGCAGACAAATGAGGAAAAGGGATGAGGGATTTTGAGTAAGGGCATCTCTTGATCTAATTCGAAGTCCCAGCTGATCTTTCGTGCACAGGCCGAGCAGGCAGGGGCTGGGTTCGGGGGTGGCCTCTCCAACGTTGTGAGTTGTGTAGTGAGTCCCACTGTCTTTGCTAGTGACATGGGCGAGGAGCTCTTTGAATGCTTGCATGTCCAAGCCACCTAAGGGGCTAGAATCCTATTTTACAATGGGTTGATTTGTAACCATCAGCCGAACAACTAACAGGGTAGCACTGATTGTCATGCTTTGCATGGACAGCGGCTGAAATTAAAAGTCTGGCCAAATGTGAAATGTTGATGAAAAGTTCCAAATCTCTGTTTTTCCATTTTTGGACATTTGAGCTTTTAATATCAAAAAATCAAAGTTTTCTGCAGGCTGTGCAACATATTTCATTTTGTCAAACATCCAGTTTTCTGCCTAGTTTGGATGCAACGTTTATGAGCAGTCATGTTACACCTACAACTTGATCATTTGGACCCTGACAAAATAACAAATTGCCCCTGGAATTACCGCTTGTATAACACTACCCCTAGGACTTGAATAAAGCCCTGTTTGGCTCTTTTACTAAGGTTGTCTAGTTCAATCTTGATGGTAAAATTGTTTGTGAAGGAGAATCCACCAGACACCTCCCTAAGTTGTTTCAATGGTTAATTACTCTCAATGTTAACGACTTGAGTTTCGTTCCCAGACTTTTTCAGACAACATATAATTAGGCTGTGGAACTCACTGCCACATGAAGTCATTGAAACCAAGAACTTGACAATTTCCAGAAAGACATTAGACTTTTATATAGATAACATGCGCAGTCAGAGTTGTTGCCGTTAACGTTCACTATTTTTGGAAGGGATATTAAACCTTGCGGTTCAGGATTTAATAATAACAGTAGGCGCTAGATCAGAGCTAGGGGTTTGCAGCAGTAGATCTTAAAGCACTTATCAAAGGAGGTCAGTAACATTATCCCCATTGTGCAGATGGAGAAACTGAGGCGCATTGTGGGGGAGGGGCTTAAGTGTAGTTCTAGCTCTCATAATGTGCTAATGTGGCAGGCAGCTGATCGCACATCTGCCACTGTGGCGTTCTTATGCTTTCCTCCGATAGTGTGTCAGACGAGATTCTGGGCTAGCTGGGCCGCGGGCCTGTCCAGTCTGGCGATTTCCTAGATCCTCTAATGTTATGCCCCCGAGTGACTCCTGCCCTTCACCCCCAGGTGTGTACTACGATGAAAGCTGCAATGCTGAGAACGTCAACCACGCGGTGCTGGCGGTGGGCTACGGCACGCTGAAAGGCAGCAAGCACTGGATCGTCAAGAACAGGTCAGGCAATGCCAGCTAGAGCCTTCCGAGAACGCCAGCTTCCGCCAGGGCCGTCCTCACTTACACACAGAATACGCCGCGGTGAAGGGCACCTGAAAATTTGGGGCACCGCTGGGTCTTCGTGCCCACCCGCCCGCCTCTGCCGATCCCCGCTCCGCAGCTCTGCTCCCTCTCTGGGGAGAATCTAGCTGACAAAAGAGTGACAAAGCCTGGCAGAGCTATTAGCAGGACCTGGGAAAGAGCCATTCCCACTGGGTACGTGCCAGCTCCGGCTCTAGACTGTCTGTGTCTCAATTGACCGTGCCAGTCGACAGGAGCTGAGTTTAAAATTTGCTTTAAAATATTTCCGGAGTGAGTTGCTGAAGATGATAAAATCATCTCCCCTCCCCCTTCTCCCTCTCCCCCCCCCCCCCCCCCCGGCTGCAGGGGCGCAGCAGTC